CCAAAACCCCAAAACCCCAAAACCCCTAAAAATTAAATCGTTAGCAAAATGAAGAATACTGAAATTTTAAGATAAAAAAGTAAATCACTCTAACTAAAACTAGATAATAAATAAGTTTATTTGTTGTCAAAATTTATTTTAATGTAATCAACAGGCTCTATATACAATAAATTATCATAAAAAGCCTACTTATTATCGCATTAAACCTAATATATGACGTCAAATATCCAGAAATTTAGACATTTTTTGAAGCAGTTTGACTAAACTGGAGCTCCAGTGTCCCTAAACTACAATAATTCTAGTACTTTCAAGACTACTTTGGGTGGAACTATTACACTCTTAAGTAGATTGGGAATAATATGCTATTTCCTAATTCTAGCTAAGTAGTTATACGATTAGGAGAATAAAGTGACCTTTAAATAAGTCCATAGAACTGCTAACAGAGATAACCAAACGAATCATATAAATCTTGAGAATTTCGACATTGCTATTGGACTCTAATTTTATGATGGTTTGACTCATCTTTATGAAAAATAGAACCTTAACTGATATCTAAAGATTGATGTTACTTATTACGAATACGGCTTTTAATTAAATAGCGATGGTTAAAGAGTACCTACAAGAGCATTTTAGGCTGTAAATTTAGTTCAATGTAAATTAGGAAGGTTTAAGAATAGTTAAGATGATATGAATGTTCTTGGAATAAATTAACTTGGCTGGTTTTGCATGGAAGACATTAACTTTGTTTTGAAGGGGTAGTTTGCAAGCAAAGTTAGATCTAACATTAGATTAAGAGTAAAGCCTTGTGAGAACAAAACTAATGTGGATTTGACTACATTACCAGAAAATGAAGTTTGTGTTTCGCCAGAAAAAATACTTCAACTTTAGCAAATGTCCTCAATTAACATAGCTAACCTTTAGTCATTTTTTGACCAAGATGAATTTAATGGTTCTCCAGTTAAAAGCGAGATCAATATGTGGTACACTAATTTTGAGAATAATCAGGCTTTTTGCTAAATTCTAGAAATAACTAAAAACATTTTGAATACTAAAGATAGTTGGGTCTCAAGCTATTTCGATTCTTAAGTATATGAATTCTATTCTATTAAGCCAGCTGGTAACTCTGTTGGAGTAGTGAAGCCAAACATCTATGATTAGTTAACCATATTTATTAGTAATAGTGATTAAGAGGTATATATCGAGAGGTAAAAAATTACAATATTAGACATCCTATCATTATCTGGAGGATTTGCTAATACAGTCTTGCTAATGACTAAGATATTCTCTCTTATATATTCTGTTTAGCTTTTTAAATAGATGCTGATTTCAAGACTCTGCTGGCTCCAGCATTTATCAAAAGGTGATAAATTTGATTTTGAAGGGAATAGTTTTATAGATCAAACAAGAAATGATTCAGTATATATGATAGTTGGTAAAGCGTCTATTCAAGAAACTAGTTTAAGTTTAATCTAAAAGAATCGAAATTTCAAACATACTGATAGTGTAATAAACCGATTGACTCATTTTTTTGCTAACAGATAGAGATTTAGTGACAAAAGTTTAATTTTCCATAAATTGAATTTCAAGTGTAAGAAGCTTTGTAGAAAGCTTGACAAAAACCCTGAAGTTATGGAGAAGTAAAAAGCTCTTGACATTATAAGTTAAAAAACAAACATTGTGAAAGTTGTCGAGAGTATAGAATATCTGAAAACGTGTATGAGAATTTTATTCTAGGACTATCAAAGAAAAATAATAAAGTAGAAATCTAAAATCTTAATCAATATTGATAACCCTGCTGACAATAAAAATTTTAAGTTGCGCAGATCAATAACAAAAACGCTTAGTTATAATGAGTTAGAACACTATCTTGCAAAAGTATTAAATTCTAATAAACAAATTGATCGATAGATAAAAGATTCCTTGATCAACTTACCATAAATCAAAGATAATCAGAAAATTGAGACTACAAAGATGAAGTTAAAAGTTAAAAAAGTAAATGACAAAACTTTACTGGAGGAAACCTCGTAAAATGAAATAGAAGAAGATTAATACAATAGATCTTCTGAATTAATCAATAAATCTCAAATTTAAGGATTGAAACCCCAACTTTAAAAGGATTCTGAGGAAAAATAAACAGAAAAAATAAGTCAACTAGATGAGCTTGATATATTCACAAAGTTAGTTATATTATTCCATTTTATGATTTTATATTAGAGATACCAAAAGAATATTCAAAAGAAATTAGAATTTTAAGAATGTTGATGTAAAACTTAAAGCATAAAAATCAGGAAATGCTGTAAAAATAATATCACCTAAGAGAGAATAGTAATAGTTAAATTAATCATAGATGTCAAATTTTGTAAAGACAGATATGCAAGAAAATTAAGACAAATCTTTTGATTCTATTACAAAATATTCGGTATTCAATAAAATTCTAAAAAAGAAATAGGTAACAATCTACGTATTAAAATTTATTTATATAGGATTTAAAGTTGGCGAATCTTACTTAAACTAGTAGCATTTTAAAATCTGATAGGAAATTTAAAATAAATAAATAAAAACTGTGATTAAAAATCAGATTCTTTTGAGACCAGATATAACAGTATTATTATGGCTTTGGCAAATTAATTGATATCTAGAATTGATTTATTAAGTAAAATAAAATTTAGATTTTACTTATTACACTAATATTAATTTACGGGGTTTTGGGGTTTTGGGG